ATACATGCTCTCCGCCAATCTCTAGGTACCTTCCCCTCTTTTATACATTTATTAAACAAAAGTACCAACCATTCCAACTCTATATCCCCCCCTGCTTTTAACATTTCTGTTATGATCCCATCAGTTCCAGCTGCTTTACCCCCTTTCATTCTACATAATGCCTCACGCACCTCCCTCAAACATCCTGCTCTTCTTCACTCCTAGATGTCATACCTCCCTGGCCAGTGCATGAAATTACCGCCTCCCTTTCTTCATCGACATTTAAAAGTTCCTCAAAATATTCTCGCCAGCTACCCAATACCTCCCGCTCCCTATCTACTAACTCCCCTCCTCTGTTAACTGACAAATCCATTCATCCCCCTCTATAAACATGTACATCCTTAAGCCTACCCATCAACTTTTTATCCACCAATACATAATCTAAAACTACAGTGGACCCCCGACATTCGATATTAATCCGTTCCTGAGAGCCATCGAATGTCGAAAATATCGAAAGTCAAATTAATTTTCCCCATAAGAAATAATGGAAATCAAATTAATCCGTGCAAGACACCCAAAATTATGAAAAAAAAAAAAAATTTACCACATGAAATATTAAGTTTAATGCAATAGAATAATTACAACAACAATAGATTATAACAATAGAATAATTGACACTTACCTTTAATGAAGATCTGGTGATGATTGATGGGATGGGAGGAGGGGAGTGTGTGGATGGTGTTAGTGTTTAGAAGGGGAATTCCCTTCCATTAGGACTTGAACTGGCAGCCTCACCATGCCTTACCACACTGTGTATGCCACTACGATTCTTAAATCTTTCAAACCAACCTTTGCTGGCCTTAAATTCAATCACATCACCACTAGTTGCAGGCAATTTCTTTACCAAATCATGCACTCCGACACACGCACTCCACTTTCGTACTTTGCAATTATCTCTTTCTTCATTTCAATAGTCATTAGCACCTTTTTTCTCGAAGGGTTGGCACTAGAAGCTTTCTTGGGGCCCATGGTTACTTATTTTGCAGAAACAAGCACAAAAACAGTGATAATATGGATAATATGGAATCTACCGAATGTATCCTTAGATGCGCGCACACTGGCTGGCTTGTAAACACTGGCACACACGGTTCAGTTCAGGCCATATGTGGACACGTCTCGTACGAATCGTATCGAATGTCGGGTTTTCCATCGAATGTCAAGGCGAAACTTTTGCATTAAAATACATCAAATGTCGGATTTATCGAATGTCGATGCCATCGAATGTTGGGGGTCCACTGTACTTTCATTACGTGCTATACTATACCTTGTATACTTAATCCTTTTTCATAAAATGTATTGCGTATCACCAAACCTCTTTCTACACATATCTCAACTAAAGGCTCCCCATTTTCATTTACCCCTGGCACCCCAAATTTACCTACTACTCCCTCCACAACATTTTTACCCACTTTAGCATTGAAATCCCCAACCACAAGTATTCTCACATTTGGCTCAAAACTCCCCACACACACTCAACATTTCCCAAAATCTCTCTCCTCTCTACACTTCTCTCTTCTCCAGGTGCATAAATGCTTACTATAACCCACTTTCACATCCAACCTTTATTTTACTCCACATAATCCTTGAATTTATACATTTATATTCCCTCTTTTCCTGCCATAACTTATCCTTCAACATTATTCCTATTCCTTCTTTAGCTCTATTTGAAACTCCGGACCTAATCCCATTTATTTCTCCCCATTCAAACTCTCCCACCCCTTTCAGCTTTTTTTTATTGTTCCACTTAAAGCCAAGACTTTCAGCTTCTCATTCATAACATCCACAATCTTCTCTCTCTTATCATTCACACAACATCCACGCACATTCAAACATCCCACTTTGACGGTTTTCTTCTTCTTTTTAGTAGGCTATATGGGAGGGGTGTTAATGTTGCAGTTAAAAAACTGTAGTGTAAAGCACCCTTCTAGCAAGACAGTGATGGAGTGAATGATGGTGAAAGTTTTTCTTTTTCGGGCCACCCTGCCTTGGTGGGAATCGGCCAGTGTGTTAATAAAAAAAAAAAATAATAAATATATGGGAAAAGGGGTTACTAGCCTATTGTTCCCGGCATTTTAGTCGACTTGTACAACACGCATGGCTTATGGAGGAGATTCTTATTCCACTTCCCCATGGATATAAAAGGAAAAGCAATAAGAACAAGAACTATTAAGGCAAAATCAAAGAAAGCTCAGACGAGTGTGTATACATAAACACGTACATGTATGTGTAGTGTGATCTAAGTTAAGTAGAAGTAGCAAGACGTACCTGAAATCTTGCACATTTATAAGACAAGAAAAAGACACTAGCAATCCTACCATCATGTAAAGCAATTACAGGCTTTCGTTTTACACTCACTTGGCATGACAGTAGTACCTCCCTGGGCAGCTGCTGTCTACCAACCTACTACCATGCTTATTATGACTTGCATCTACAAGCACTGTATAGCACTGCCTGGAATTTTTGGGTTATCCTAGGCAATTTATACTATGTATAATAACTGAGGTAATTTACACTATGTATAATAACTGTACTTATGTGTACATAGGAGAAAGAGACAGAGATAGAGACAGACGGAGATATAGACAGAGAGCCAAAGTCAGCCAGCCAGTCTGCCGAGTTATAGGACACTGGCAGAATGACTACCAGTGAAGTCAAAAATGAAAGGATGTTGCACAAATGTTACACACGGGTTATTATTGAGGTTTTTCATATTTCCTCAACCACTTAAGGCCACATCCATCACCTTCCTCTTAAAAGGGGAGTGTTAAAACATGACATCACATCAGTGAATGCCTGGTGTTTGCCACACTATTTGCTTTAGCTGGCGCTCAAATGAACGGGCATTCCCACGAGGTGCTAAGTGGTCCCAGATTTTAATACTGCGCACACCGTGTTAAAACCCATTCTATATTGCCCAGACGTCTCAGGCCAATCATGCCAAATTTGGAGGCAGGAAAAATAAAACAGATCTGTGTTTGGAGCGCTAGCAATACAAATGCAGATCTACATTTGGACAGTTTAAGGGTTAACTAAGACTTACCTCACAAGTCATTATAAAGTGCTCACCGGATGTTAATGCCCAACTCTTCCTAGACATTGTTATTCTCATTCAAGTTGATATTAAACTTCATGCCATATTCAAACAGATGGCCACTGAAACAAATCAAGCCACATAAGAAAATACTTTCAGGCAGAATTTAGCCACATTTGTGGATTGTGAATTCACAGGAATTTCTAGAAACCTTACCCCCACTCTTCCCGTAAAATGAAAGTCAACTGTACCTACTTACTGCTAGATGAACAGGGGTAGCAGGCACAGGTGCCCATACATCTCTACCTATTAGGCTGCATCTCTACGAATGTTGCTAACAATAGTTGAGAAACTTGACAGGACAAACTTTTTGAGGGCATTTCAAACTGTCAAGATCAACTTGTGCAGAATCTTGGGTCAGCAGAAAACAGAGGTATACTTGAAAACTTTAAACTGGCTTCTGGTTTCTCTCTAGGAGGTTGGCCCCAAACTTTTAAACTATCTGTAATATGTGAGACAGCTAAATCCACTTTGGATTTGTTCAATATTGGTCTGTCTTCAAATTAATTTCCAACTTTCTATACATCACCTGGCCCTGTCCTTTTCTTTGATGACAAATTTGTTGTCTTGCCAAGAAAGATACCAAACTTCTTAAAGACTAGGCTAGAACTATGGAAACAGCTTAAATGCACAACACTACTGAAAACAAGCTAAGTGAATGTAGCTTAGCTAGACCACTTTTCACATACTGCAGGAACAAATTGGCAATAGAGTTGAGACAAACCTTCCAGTCAGAAACCAAATTACAGTTAAACATTATCCAGTATTTCTGATCCAAGATTCATCACATGATTTCATTCACTTCTTTCACAGAGTATAAATAGTATTCACTTTGAATCTATTGAATGACTTTATAAAGACTTTTAGCACTGGCCACCTCCCACAAAGGTATGGTAACCCATAAAAGGTAAACACTCACTCATTCACTGTCTTTCCAGAAACATTCCGACATCACAATTTAGATAAACCTACAAACGGCAACATCCCCAACCCAATAAAAGGCTTGTTCTGCCTGTGTATCTTTTCTTTAACTAAATGGTAAGAAGAAACTTGAGCACACATGAGACATGAGCACACTTCGAGATATAAATACATACTATCACACTGAGGTAAAATTAATCACTGTGATGGAATAATGATAGTATTTTCTGTAATGAATTAAAAAAGGTAATAAATACTAAAGTTACTGTAAATAGTTAAGTTTTCTACACAATAAAGGTAAAAGATCAGAACACTAGAGTACTCGGCTTTCTCCATACACCACGAAACCCCTAAATTTGTGGCACATTCATTTCCTAGAGATCCATAAAAATTAGAATCCACAAAAACAGGCCATTAAGTTGTCACACTCTTTTGTCAAAGCATGTTGCTTGGCTGTAGGATCCACCAGGCATGCCACTTCAAGACTACACTATAGTTATTGAGAGGCACCTTCAAATATTCTCAGCTTATTTGATATGCATGTCATCATCCACCATGTTTACAGTTCCCTTAGTCTTATTATAATTAATCATAAAAGTACAGCAGGTCTTTTAATAACAGTTTCATTCAACATTGTTTCATTACAACAAGAAAAAAAAAATCTCAGCTGGGGTTACTGTGTGAGGAGTTTGCATGTTGTCCCCATGTCTGCACCCTGAGCACTCATTGCAACCCTGATGCAATCAGTACTTAAAGTGCACCATTGATATCTGTGGCCACAAAAACCAAAGTGTGACATTAGAGATAACTACCTCTTGTTATTATCAAATAGCCTAGGGCAAAACTGGTTTGCTATGTGTCATTTCACTTAAAGTCCCAATTTCCATGAACGTATCAACAACGTAAAGCGAGGACTTACTGTATCAAAAGTACTTATCAATTTGCTTACCTCAGCTTCACGTGAAGCTATCTCTTTTTCTAAGAACTGCTGTACTACTTCCTTCTCCTTTATCTGCATCTCAAGCTGGCAAATTCTCTCATTTAATTCTTCAGTTTTCTTCTTCTCAGCTTCTAGGTTGGCAGCTAAAGTGTCCTTCTCTTCTTGAACTTCACTAAGCTTACTCTTTACTTCACTTATTGTTTCTTCTAGTTTACTAACCTGAAAGAAAATTTTATGTCAACTAAGAAAACGATATCTACTTAATAGCAAACAAGCAATGTAAATTCCAAAAACCTCACTTGACAAGATACAACCATCACTATCAGTTGCTGTGGGAGGTAGCCTGCCCTCTCATACATTTAAAATGAAACTATTTTCTTCTATGATAGAAAAAAAAAGCATTATACACACATTTATGAACTTACTCTTGCATTATTACCATCATTACTTCTATTAAGCAAACCATCACACAGGCCCTCCAATTCCACCCGAGCAAAGTGCAATTTTTAATGTTGAATAATAATGCATGTAGTGCACTTGCTTCACCTTTAACCCTTAAATGGTCCAAACGTATATATACGTTTTTTCAACATCTGAAAGTATGTAAAAAAAATGTAATCTTTTTTTTTTTTTGTTTTACATTTGAAAATGTGTAAAAAAAGAGTAGATCTACTTTTGTAGCACTACGAATTTGAACGTCGATTTGTTTGGACCATTTAAGGGTTAAATTATACTAAGTTACATTTCTTATGAAAAAAATGAAGGCTGAACACTCGAGTCAAGCCAAACCTTGTGTAGGTTGTTCGTTGACCTGCTGTTTCTAAAAAAACCTAACATTACACAAAAAATGTGGTGTGGGTATTTCCTCAGAAAGAAATGCACCATAAAATACTCTCTGTACAGAAGTTTTTCTTTAGCATCCACCACTTCATTACCCAGGAACCTGAAATGTCCCAGGCATCAGCACATCTTAGGTGTGCCGAGTGCACACACACATTAACAACCCTGGTATTTTCTGGGCTGAAAAATGGACAAGCACACATTATGCCTGGACCAACAAGGTGCACTGAACTGAAATCCACAGATGTTAACAACAAGCAACAAAGACGACATGGAGTTCCAAGGTTTTAGTTAACGGGGCAGAATACAAGTCCTCATCAGAGATCATCAGACAACCCCACCCTAGCTCTTGTCCTGTCATTATTCTTCCTGCATGAAATGAATCATTCTCCAGAAAGTTACCAAAGATCACAGGCGCAAAGCACTTAGTCCCCATCTACTGCCTACAAAGAGATACACAGATTTGGCATGGAAGGAAGGAGGGTTAACAGTCACTTCAAGAAGGACTAGACATAAAGGAAGGGAGGGGGGAGAGAGGTAAAGTTTTTAGTAATAGGGGGCTTGAACATAGAGAGAGACTAGTGCAAGTACATTAGCCGAGTGGAGACAAGAGGGTGTTTACAATATGCTGGAGGAATGAAGGGATTCTAGGAAACAAATCCAGTTAGCAAGACTAAAGTTCTAGATATGGGACATACTGTGAAGTGGATGCAAGATATTTCAATCAGGATGGTCATCCGAATTATGTCAGTAACTGAGTGAATAACAGTGAATTCCTTTCCCTCTTTTGGGTCACAATCTAGGTGAAAGATAGTTGGTGTGAAAAAATCAAACCTATTTATCAATGCCCCTACAATTTAAAACCTTTAAACCAACCTCAAGAGCTGTATAAGGTAAGTACATTGAGATCTTTGGGTGTGAAGTCTGTAGGTGGGTTTAAGATTGCATGTCTCAGTCAAGGTATGCCCTCAATAAACAAGCTCTTTCCAAATAGGCAACTTTAAACGTTGTTGCTAATAGCCCCATAGAGCGACTCCTTTATGCCCCGTTCCAGTCTCAGGTCTCCTAAACTAAAAACAAAGTCTTGCAAGAATAAGGATTAAGGAACACAGGAAAGTAAAGTTAACATTAAATATAAGTTTTACATTAACTACCAGTCCTGAGTGTTTAAGAAAAAGTAACAACCACACTGAGTGCAAATTTCACTAGCAGGTTCCCGGCAAAAAATAATCTGCCCTAAAATATACAAAAAATTTCCACACTGCACAACATAGTACAGTAGGACTGCCCTGTATTCACAGGGGATACGTTCTAAGACCTTCTCTGGACAGTAATAAACCCTATATACAGTGGTACCCAGAGTTTCAGCCATAATTCATTCCAGAAGACTGTTCGAGTGCCATTACTGAACGAATTTGCTCCCATAAGGAATAATACAAATTAGATTAGTCTGTTTCAGACCCCCAAAAATACTTACAAAAGCACTTAAAATAATACGCTTACATAACTGTTCGAGTTGGGAGCTGTACGAAACTCGGGGTACCACTGTACGTCTTTTTTCATTTCCATACATCTTTCTTTCAACGCACCGGCCATATCCCACCGAGGCAGGGTGGCCCAAAAAGAACAACAAAAGTTTTTCTCTTTTCAACTTAATGTATATAGGAGAAGGGGTTAACAGCCCCTCCCTCCCGGAATGTTAGTCGCCTCTTACGACACACATGGCTTACAAAGGAAGAATTCTGCTCCACTTCCCCATGGAGATAGGAGGAAATAAACAAAAACAAGAACTAGTAAGAAAATACAAAATACCCAGAGGGGTGTGTATATATATGATTGTACATGCATGTGTAGTGTGACCTAAGTGTAAGTAGAAGTAGCAAGACGTACCTGAAATCCTTTATGTTTATGAGACAGAAAAGAGACACCAGCAATCCTACCATCATGTAAAACCAATACAGGCTTTCATTTTACACTCACTTGGCAGTATGGTAGTACCTTCCTGGGCAGTTGCTGTCTACCAACCTACTACCTAGCAAAGTATAATTATCAGAGTACAGTGGTACCTTGACTTATGAGTGCCCCAAGTTATAAGTTTTCCAAGTTACGAGCCGTTACTCTGTCGATTTTTTGCTTCGAGTTGCAAGCCAAAATCAGTTATGAGCGAGCTTCAGATATGCTGCCAATTAGTAGTGGCATATCTGGAGTCAAATCCAACTCTGTACCCAGAGGAATGCCAGGTACTTCCTCCCATCCCACATGCACTTCCAAGACATACCTGGAAGGATAATACTCGCACACTACTCCCAGATTGTGGCGAGGCACCTCGTCACTTGTTTGGTTTTCGTATAAATCCGGGGAATAGGTAACCTCCATTTCAACACTCAGTTTTTCCAGAAACATTAAATTAAGATAGGTGTAGTACTGATAGTGGTGGGCGTAGTAGCCATGGTGGTGGGCGTAGTAGCCATGGTGGTGGGCATAGTAGCCATTGTGGTGGGCATAGTAGCCATTGTGGTGGGCATAGTACCCATGGTGGTGGATGTAGTAGAAATGGTGGTGGGTGGAGTAGTGAAGTTGGTGGGTGGAGTACTGAAGGTGGTGGGTCGAGTAGTGATAATGGTGATTGTAGCAGAGATAATAGTGGGTGGAGTAGACAGGGTGGGGATGGAGTAGTGAAGGTGGTGGGTAGAGTATACAATATTTCTTATTTGTAAGTACATTTTTCTTATTTAAAAATTAGTAACAAAAAAATTGGGGCGTTTTTCTGGGGCTGGAACAGACTAACTGCATATCAGTTAATTTCAATGACGAAAACTGATTTGACATACGAGCAAATTGAGTTACGAGCTCGGTCACAGAACGAATTAAACTCTTAAGTCAAGGTACCCCTGTATATTTAACCCTTAAACTGTCCAAACGTAGATCTACATTTTTTTCAACATTTGAAAGTATGTAAAAAAACGTAGATCTTCTTTGTTTTTTACATTTGAAAATGTGTAAAAAAAACTGATCTACTTTTAGAGCACTACGCATGTGAACATAGATCTGTTTGGACAGTTTAGGGGTTAAACATGAAATAACTAACCCTTCCAGGGTCCAGAGGCCAAATTTCAAAGTGTGCACCAGGGTCCAAGAATTTAAAAAAAAAAAAAAAAAAAAATCTTATGAAATGGTAGAGAATCTTTCTGAAGGTAATACGACAAAAAGTACGAAATTTGATGGAAAATTGACGAAATTATGCTCTCGCGAATTTTGATGTGTCGGTAATATTTACGAATCAGCGATTTTGCCAACTTTAACTCCCGTTTTAGGCCAATTACATTATTCCAATCGACCAAATTCTTAGCTATTTCACTAGTATTACTTCTATTCTATCGATTGAGCACAAGAAATCGCCAAGTCAACTGTTTCAACTACAAAATAAAGTGATCGGAAATTGGTAATTTGGCCAATTTAACACAAAGTTCAAAATATTCCAATTTCAAAATAGTGTCCAGAATAAACAATGTAGGTATTCCTGGCACTAAACTAACATTTCCTCTGTTCATTAGTTATGTTTTGAGGCTTTACAAATGAATTCCATTTTGATTTTTTATACACAATGAATTTTTATTCAAACCAAAAAAATAAAAGATTAACTGTTATGCAATATTGTAATAATTGTATAAATATCACCACATTTGTGAATGTATATCAGACCCACCAGCTGGCGTGTATTAGACGTATGAGGTCATTTGTTTACTCTTGAACATTGGCAAAAATTTAACATTTTCGCTACTTTGAGCTCAGTTTCAAGCCATTTTCAGTGCTAAAACCAATCAAAATCATCTCCATTTCTGTAATACGTCTTCCATTCTATCAAATGAGACCAAGAAATCGCAAATACAACTATAAAAAACATACGAAAAAACTGCAAAGTCGCTGTTTTAATAAAAAATCACAATCTCAGTATATTTCATCTCATTATACACTGTGCTGCAGGATTTGTTTTATGTGGTGTACACATACCACATAGATGTATTCTCTCATATCTAAGCCCAATTTTACCACTCACAGCTTATCAGAGTGAGCTGAGCTCATGGCGTAGATCTACGGTTTGGACCCTGAAAGGGTTAAAACCCTTGAAATTTTTTAAAGTTTTTTTTTTACAAAAAAAAAAGGAAAACCGGGCCAAGAATTTTTAAAAAACTTGGGGGGGTGGAAATTAAAAATTGGGGGAAAAACCTTTAAAATCAAATTTAAAATTTTCCCAAATTTAAAACCTTTAGGAAAAAAATTCCCAAGTTTTTCGAGTTTTTCATTCCTTAATTTTTTAACCAAAAAAAATTTAAACCAAAAAAATAAAAAAACTCAAATTTTTTTAAAAAAAATACAATTTGTTTTTTTCCCAAAACCACTGGGGGCAGGTTTTTTTATTTGTTCAAAAAAAAAGAACCAAAAAACCCCAAACCCCCAAAACACACAAAACACAACAACCAAAAAAAACCAAAAAAACCCACAAAAAACCCCCCCCAAAAAAAAAAAACCCAAACCAAAAAAAAAACCAACCCACAAAAAAACCCAAAAAACCAAAAACCACCAAAACCCCAAAAAAAAAACCAATAAAAAACCCAAAACACCCCAAAAAAAACCCCAAAAAAAACACCCAAAAACCCCCCCAAAAAAAAACCCCCAAACAAACCAACAAAAAACAAAAACAACACCAAAAACAAAACCCAAAAAAAACACCCCCCACAAACACAACCAACAAAAACCCAAAAACAAACAAACCAAAAAACCCAAAACCAAAAAACAAAAAACACCCAAAACAAAAAACCCCCAAAACCACCCCAAAAACACACACCACCACACACACAACACAAAACAAAAACACACAACACCCCCACACAACAACACACCACACACACAACACAACAAAAAACAACACAACAAAAACAACAACACAACACCAACCACAACACAACAACACACCAAAACCACACAAACAACACACAACAACACAAACACCACACACAAACACAACAACACACCAAAACAACAACACACAAACCCAACAAACAACCCAAAAACAAACACCACAAAAACACCACACCAACAAACAAAACAACCCAACCAAAACCACCACAACACACACAACAAAACACACACACACAACAAAACAAAACAACAAACAAAACAACACACACCAAAAAACCCAACCAAAAACCCACAAAAACACACCAACAACAAACAACACACAACCCACAAACACAAACAAAACCCCACACAACAAAACAACACAAAAACACAACAACAAAAAACCCCACACAACAACCAACAACAAACACACAACAACACACACAAAAACACCAAAAACCAACACAACACACCCAACAACACCCCCCAAAAACAACACAAAACACACAAAAACAACACCCCAAAAACAAAACCACACAACACAACAACCAAAAACCCCAAAAACAAACACACACAACACAAAACACAACCCACAACAACCCAAAACCACCCAAACACACCAACAACCACACAACAACACACACAAAAAAAAAACAAACAACAAAACCCCAACACACAAAAACCCCAAAACCCAAAAACCCACACAAAACAAACAACACACAAAAAACACAACAACCCCACACAACAACACCCCAAAACCCCAAAAACAACACACACAACAAACCAAAACCACAACAACACACACAACACAAACAACCACACAACAACCACCCAAACAACACAACAACAACCAACAAAAAAAAAACCAAACACAACACAACAAACCCCCACACAACACAACAAAAAACACACAACAAACAAACAAACAAACCCCAAAAAACAACAAACAACACACAACAACAAAACAAAACACAAAAAACCCAAAAACACAACAACACCCCACAACAAACCCACAAAACAAACAAAAAAACAAAACAACAAAAACAACACCAACACACAAAACCCCAACCCCCACAAAACCCAAACCCCCAAAACAACACACACAACCCAACAAACCCCCAAACACAACAAAAAACCCACACAACACAACAACACACAACACAAAAACAACACACCACCCACAACAACCACACACAACACAAACCCACAAAACAAACACACAACAACACAACAAACACAAAAACCCCACACAACAAACACACAAAAAAAACACAACAACACACCCAACACACACAACCACACACACAACAAACACACCAACACAACCACAAAAACACACAACAAAACACAAAACCCAAAACAAACAAACAACACCACAACAACAACAACCCCAAACAACAACCAACAACACAACAAAAAACACAAACAACAACCACAAACAACAACACAACAAACACACAAAAACCAACAACACAACAACCACACAACACAAAAAACCACACAACAAAACACACACACAAAAAAAACACACAAAAAAAACCCCAAACAAACAACCACACAACAAAAAACAAAAAACAACACACAAAAACACAAAAACAAAAAACACACAAAACAACACAAAAACAACACAAACACAACAAAACAAACAAACAAACAAAAAAACAACGCAACAAACAAAACACAACAAACACACACAAAAACACACAACAAAAACACCACAAAAAACACAAAACACACAACACACACAACCAACAACACACAACACAACAAACACAAAAACACACAACACACACAAACCCACACCCACACAAACACACCACAACCACACACACACACAAAAAACACCCACACACCACACTTACACACACACAACCCACACACATTAACCACACACCCCAAAACCAAAACCCACACCACAACACCACAACAAACACCCAAACAACACACACAAAACACGGGGGCTGTTGGCTAAAACTCCCCTTCACCACGGGGGGCCCGGGTTCGTTTCCCCGGGCGGGTAAAAATCCGACACTTTCCTTACACCTATTTCCTGTTCCCCTAGCAGCAAATAGGTACCTGGGGAAGGATGGTGTGGGTCCTCCCGGGGGCAAGATTAAAGGGCCCCCTGGAAATAAGTTGACAGTCCTCGAGACCACGACTTTTTTGGGTATCCCGGGTGGGTAACCCTCGGGGTTTTAAAAAACCGAACGAAAATTTTTTTATCAACACACACACACACCACACAACACACACACAACACAACACCCACAACACCACACAACACACACACAACCACACACAAACCCACAAAAACAACAACCCACACAAACACACCACAAAACCACCAACACACACACAACAACCCCCCAAAACACAACACAAAACACCCAACACAACACAAACCACACAAAACCAAAACACACACCCAACACACACACAACACCCAAAAACACCCCAAACAACACCCACACCACAACCACACAACAACACACAACAAACAAACAACACCACAACACCCACCACAACACAACACAACACACACACAAACACACACACAACACACACAAACACACAACAACCCCATTTTCTATGCCAAAATTACGCAACAACTTTCCTAAAGGGGCCAAGCTCAAACATAATATACATGAGACCCGAGCTCAAAGCTGTGATACCATGGGATAACCTGAAAGGGGAACTATGTAAGCATTTTTTTTGCACTCCAAACAATAGTGATTTGGGTTGTGCCATTCCAAAAATTTTTTTAGTTTGGCATTCTCACTATTGGAGACTTATGATTTATAATGTTAAAGCTACTAATCTAATTTTGGGTTGGTGCTCTATTGCCGCCTCCATGCCAAGGAGATGTGTGGGAATCAAAGCTTCTGTATGTCCCCTGTACCTTTGATATACCTTCGAAGAGTTTCTAGAGTATCTACTCTCAAAGTCCGGTCAAGGGCCAGGCTCGTCTGGTGCTTGCCCGGTCAACCAGGCTGTTGCTGCTGGAGGCCCGCTGCCCCACATATCCATCACAGCCTGGTTGGTCTGGCACCTGGTGAAGATACTTGTCCAGTTTCCTCTTGAAGGCTTCTACACCTGTTCCAGCAGTGTTTCTGATATCTTCTGGTAAGATATTGAAAAGTCTGGGACCCCGGATGTTAATACAGTGTTCCCTTATTGTCCCCACCGCACCCCTGCTCCTTACTGGGTTTATTTTACACTTCCTCCCATATCTCTCACTCCAGTATGTTGTTATGGCAGTGTGCAGATTTGGAACCAAGCCCTCTAGTACCTTCCAGGTATATATTATCATGTACCTCTCTCTCCTCCACTCCAATGAGTACAGGTTCAAGACTTACGGGCATTCCCAGTAGTTTAGGCGCTGTACAGGCTCAATTTGAGCCGTAAACGATCTCTATTTGTTCCAGCTCCGATATTTCTCCTGCCTTCAACGGGCTGTCAGTACTTAGCAATATTCTAAGTGAGGTAGCACTAGCAATTTGAAGAGTGTCACCATTGGCATTATTTCCCTTGTTTTGAAAGTTCTCAATACTCACCCCATCATATTTCTGGCTGTCGTGATCTGTGTCTTGTTAGGGTCTTTAAAAGAAAGGTCCGCTGACATAATTATTCCTAGGTCTTTTACGTGTTCCTTACGTTTTATTTGGCGACCCTCTTGAGTTTTGTACATAGTGCTCCTTTTGAGTTCTTCATTCTTTCCATACCTAAGCAGCTGGAACTTATCACCATTGAATGTCATGTTATTCTCCACTGCCCACTGGAAAACCCTGTATGTCTTCCTGTACTTTTTCAGTGTCCTCTACCGTACTGACTCTCATGCTTATTTTAGTGTCATCTGCAAAGGATACAAAAGTGTGCCGGGTGTTTTCGTCTATGCCTACTTTTTGCGTTGTGTGTGTTAGGAAACCGAAAATCCATCTGCCTACCCTCTAGGTTCTTTCTACAAAGGATACTGAGAACTCGCATCAAAGGAATTTTGCACTTTTTCACAAACAAGGACTTCCAGGAATCCACAAGTGGATACACTTTCCATTTCTATTCTCCAGGATTATTGCTTATATCTGTTACATGATCAGCAATAGCCTTCAGAGGTAATGAAAAAAAATTCTGAATTCTCCACCATGCTTTCATTTAGTGAGCTGCTAAGCTTTTATTCACACTGGTCTCCAGAATTACTCTTCTGTGTCAGTAACTAAACCTGTTGCAATTAATGGTCTAAATTTACAGAAATTTCTTGACTTGGATTTTGCACATTTGAAGAAATATTTAATTTCTTGCAGTATCCAAGACAACTTTGTTTCCAACTCAATACAATCTTAATGTAGATCAGATTTTCAACTTCACCATAATCACTAACAAAATAAAGGTCAGCTTTACCTCTTCAGTTCGATGATTAAGTTCTTCCTCCAACATTGATCCAATGACCTTTTCTTTAGTGTTCATACTAAGATCAAAAACAGTAGATTCTAGGAGAGAGATTTTAGAACGTTGTTGACTTGCTTCATCCTGAAGACTGGAGAGTGTTTGTTCGTATTCAGTGATCTGTGGATTACAATATTTTAAGTACTATAACTATTACATATGTTGCATTCTAGTATAAATCTAAATTAATTTAGCAAATACATGGGGAAAGGGAAAGAAATTTACATAAAACTTGAGCCTCAGATTCACCACTGAAGCTAAAATGATGAGTCAAACGTTGTTCAATGTTATTACCTATAATAATAAACAAAAGTCATTAGGGATGAAGAACAAACATTCTAATTTAGTGAAAAAATATTAGGGTTAATAAGCAAAACAGACAGTGCAGGATTGGAAGGAAAAAAAAAAAATACTAACATGTAGTGATGTAAAAATCAGGTAAAGTCCAAAAAGCTAACAGAACCAGACCAAATTTAACCTTTGAACTGTCCAAACGTACATCTACATTCAATTTTACATGCTTGATGTAAAAAGAAAACATAGATCTACGTTCGGAGTGCTATGCGAGTGAACGTAGAACTATGTTCGGACAGTTTAAGAGTTAAATGTCCAGGATATGTATTACAACCTGCTAATCCAGATTACAATCACCCTTTCTAGTCATGTACTTTTAGTCACCATTTTTTTAACACCCCCCTACCCCCCATATACCCTGTATTTCAAATCAGTACAGCAGCTGTTTTAAATACACTGAGTTTTGCTACATAATCACTACATTTAATATTCTTATATACAGAATTTAATCAGTAAAACATGGCAGCATTCAGATATTCTATAACATTCAGCATCAAATAGTTAAACACTTTCAGGGTCCGTGCCAGAATATCACGCTTTGAGTTCAGGGTCTGTGCCCTAATATTAGGTATAAATTTTAGAGGCTTCAAATTTAGCACAAGAGGACTGGTAGGCCTACATATGAGAATGAGTCTTTGTGGTCAGTGCGTGCAGAATAAAAAATAATTGGGGTTCCCACACTGCATTATGGGAGAGCACCATTTCATACCCTCTGCTCACAATGCCTCGCTATTGACAACACCTCACTCCCAGGAGAATTGGGAATCTCTTCCCAAGTGATAACTTTAACCCCTTCAGGGTCGAGAGGCCCCTCTCCTAAACTTGTTCTCAGGGTTGCCCAAATTTTTCGGAAAAAAACAAATTATTTTTTCTTATGAAAAGATAGAGAATCTTTTCCCAATCATAATGACACCAAAAGTATGAAATTTGATGGAAAACTTACGGAATTATGCTCTCACAAAGTTAGCGATCTCGACGATGCTTACGCATCGGCGATTTCGCCCAATTTGAGACCTATATTCGGCCAATTCCAGTGTACTAGTCAACAAAAATTGTAACTTTCATAAGAACTCTATTTTTTCTATCGAATGAGAACAAGAAACCACCCATTTACCAATTTCAACTATCCAATAAAGTGGTCAGAAATTAGCAATTTTGCCAATTTCACACAAATTTCATAAGATGCCAATTTTAAAATGGGGTCCAGAATAAACAAGACAAGACAATCCTGGCACTAAAATAACATTTCCTCTGTTTATCAGTCACGTCCCCAGGCCCCTCTTACATTTCTTTTGCTTTCCACTTTGAGTTTTTATTCTTACAAAAAGTAGAAGATTTGCTGTTATGCAGACTGCTGCATTAGTGTAGAAATGGTATAAATAATATCAGCGCACTTGTGAAAGAATATTAGACTCACCAGTTGACGTTTATTGGACACGTGGCATGATTTGTTTACTTTTGAACTTTGGCAAAAATTGAATATTTCTGCTACTTTGAGCTCAATTTCAAGGTACTTTTCATTGTGAAACCAATCAAAATCATCCCAATTTCTGTAATATGTCTTCCATTCTATAAAATAAGACCAGGAAAACTAGATACAAACAATAAATTACCATACGAAAATACAGTGCAAATTCGCTGTTTTAAACCAAAAACACTGTCAAAGTTGTTGTTTTTCTCATTACGCACTGTGTGCTGCAGGATTTTCTTAATACTGTGCACACTGACCACAGACCCATTCTTTCGTATGTAGGCCTACCAGCTTTCTCTTGCTAGATTTGAAGGCACTAGAATTTAGGCGTGCTAGTAAGTCAATAACCCTGGTGCGTAAGCTGTACTAGTACGTCAAACCCTGAAAGAGTTAATGAGGAATATGTAAGTGATGATGAGTTGGATGATTTTGAACATTTAGTCACAGTGACTCAACATACCAGAAATATTGCTAGAAACCCCGATGACCTTCAACCATCCACTTCTCAGGCTGGTCCATCTGGAACCCGACAAGTTTTACAACGCAATACAAAAGCAAGTTTATTTAGGTATAGGTACAAATAAGCACAACTATCATACAGTGTAAATTACCTAGAATAACCCAAAAAGAGTAGGAATTTTTTTTTAGTTTTTTTTTTTTTTAACAAGTAGGCCGTCTCCCACCAAGGCAGGGTGACCAAAAAGAAAAATTCCCCAGAAAGAAAATACTTCCATCATCATTCAACACTTTCACCACACTCACACAATCACTGTTTTTGCAGAGGTGCTCAGAATACAACAGTTTAGAAGCATATATGTATAAAGATACACAACATATCCCTCCAAACTGCCAATATCGCAAACCCCTCCTTTAATATGCAGGCATTGTACTTCCTATTTCCAGGACTCAAGTTCGGCTATATAAAAATAACCGTTTTCCCGGAATCCCTTCACTAAGTATTACCCTGCTCACACTCCAACAGCTTCTCAGGTCCCAAATACCATTCATCTCCATTCACTCCTATCTAACATGCTCATTTATGGCACTGTAAAGCTGAAGATGTTCCAAACAGACCAGTCCGAGAAGTTTATGGCTGAGCATCATTGAGGTTTTCAGCAATATTTCCATCATTCTGAGTATCATTTTCGGTCACTAAATATTTAAAACCATCGCTTCCATATTCCTCATTGTAAGAACCATCACTTGGGAAACATGTGTCCAATTTTTCTTCTGTCATTAGACAAATAATAGCCGAATACTAGGTCACAACACCTGCAGTACACCACCACGCTTAAACTGATCACCAAATACCCTCTTGTATGCAGTATGGCAATTACTTCCCAACAACACTTCCAACTACTGAGCAGTAGTTTGCTCAGAAAACATGTTTTATCTGTGCACATACAGCACGATGCCCATGAAAAATGTAGACACACATTTTGTGTGTGAAGAGTGTAACACCACTGTGTATAACACTGTTTCAGAAGAATTCCACAGAATACAACAGTCCCAGGAACATGTCCAGGACCTGTATATATGCATTTAAATGTTAGAATAGTAATAATGTGAAACATTTTTACTTGTGTTTGTTGTTTTGTTAAGTTTTGTAAACAATATACTGATGACATCACAGCAATTACCATGTTGCACACAATAAGTGTATATATATGCAATGTAGGAGGTAGGTTACTGAAAGCAGTGAAGAGTTTTTACGAGGATAGTGAGGCTCAAGTTAGAGTATGTAGGAAAGAGGGAAATTTTTTCCCAGTAAAAGTAGGCCTTAGACAAGGATGTGTGATGTCACCGTGGTTGTTTAATATATTTATAGATGGGGTTGTAAGAGAAGTAAATGCGAGGGTCTTGGCAAGAGGCGTGGAGTTAAAAGATAAAGAATCACACACAAAGTGGGAGTTGTCACAGCTGCTCTTTGCTGATGACACTGTGCTCTTGGGAGATTCTGAAGAGAAGTTGCAGAGATTGGTGGATGAATTTGGTAGGGTGTGCAAAGAAGAAAATTAAAGGTGAATACAGGAAAGAGTAAGGTTATGAGGATAACAAAAAGATTAGGTGATGAAAGATTGAATATCAGATTGGGGGAGAGAGTATGGAGGAGGTGAACGTATTCAGATATTTGGGAGTGGACGTGTCAGCGGATGGGTCTATGAAAGATGAGGTGAATCATAGAATTGATGAGGGAAAAAGAGTGAGTGGTGCACTTAGGAGTCTGTGGAGACAAAGAACTTTGTCCTTGGAGGCAAAGAGGGGAATGTATGAGAGTATAGTTTTACCAACGCTCTTATATGGGTGTGAAGCGTGGGTGATGAATGTTGCAGCGAGGAGAAGGCTGGAGGCAGTGGAGATGTCATGTCTGAGGGCAATGTGTGGTGTGAATATAATGCAGAGAATTCGTAGTTTGGAAGTTAGGAGGAGGTGCGGGATTACCAAAACTGTTGTCCAGAGGGCTGAGGAAGGGTTGTTGAGGTGGTTCGGACATGTAGAGAGAATGGAGCGAAACAGAATGACTTCAAGAGTGTATCAGTCTGTAGTGGAAGGAAGGCGGGGTAGGGGTCGGCCTAGGAAGGGTTGGAGGGAGGGGGTTAAAGGAGGTTTTGTGTGCGAGGGGCTTGGACTTCCAGCAGGCATGTGTGAGCGTGTTTGATAGGAGTGAATGGAGACAAATGGTTTTTAATACTTGACGTGCTGTTGGAGTGTGAGCAAGGTAACATTTATGAAGGGATTCAGGGAAACCGGCAGGCCGGACTTGAGTCCTGGAGATGGGAAGTACAGTGCCTGCACTCTGAAGGAGGGGTGTTAATGTTGCAGTTTAAAAACTGTAGTGTAAAGCACCCTTCTGGCAAGACAGTGATGGAGTGAATGATGGTGAAAGTTTTTCTTTTTCGGGCCACCCTGCCTTGGTGGGAATCGGCCGGTGTGATAATAAATAAAAAAAATAATATGCAATGTGCATTATATGGGAATATCACAGGTCATGAAAGTTACTGGAAAATGTAAAGTATTAGAAAACCACAGAGAACAATGTACAAGAAAAATAAAACAGAGAGCATGGTAGTTGCTGATTTCACCCCAAGTCAGTCATAGACCATCAACTTTACACCACTATACCTTAAGTACTGATAGAATTTTTTTTTTTTTATTACCACCAGTAAAATATACTCTTGAAATCTACAGGTGTAAACAATGATGGGGGCCTTTGATTGAACTTTATATATAGAAGGATTTAGTATTTGGTGGGAGATGGCCGACTTGTGGGGAAAAAAAAAAAAAAGTACAGTGG